CGGAGTTCTATCGCAAAGGCATTAATAACCTTCCCATTAGATGGCAGTAATGTATAGATAATAATGGCAACTATTTTGATTAAATGATTTTGTTAAAAATTTAAAAAATAAACAATTTAGATTTTCAGTACAAATCGGCAATTTCATACTTTAACCCCTATTATTTAATAAAATAAAACAAGGAAGTTTCTCCAAGCTTAAAGTAGCCTAAAAGACAGCGCATTTCGTTTCCAAACACATAATACGTGTTTTTTCGCTCGTTATTACATTGTTGTAAAGTTTTTTTCCGGCCGGCTTACCGCATTCCGTGTCGATAACTAAGGTAACTCCCTAACTAAGCACTACAAAGTATAAATTGTTTTCCAATTTATATGTACGGTAAACGAAAAATGTATCTATGATATTATCTTTAAACAAAAGAGGAATGTATACAAAACCAACAAAATTATCTAATGTTACATGTGTAACATTAGATATCAGTACCACTGGAACTAATTTGGTATCATACACTGAGCAAATGTCCACATTTACCTGTGTAAATGAGTTTGCAGCACCAAACACTAATTGAATTACCAAGGAATATAACAATGTTGTCTGGCAACAAAGCATATCTGATTTCGGCATTACGTCTTTGATATCACATTGAAAACAAATCAACTAGTACATAACCAGTTGATTTATTGAAAGGGAGCAGTAAATGTTATTATGTTGGCCTTATTCGCCTGAGAGGAGACCCGTGCACAGCGGTGAAACGTGTAAATGGGTTGATGATGATGATGACGATGATAGTACCACCACCATTACCTATTAATGTTTAACCTTGCGCTTACTTACATGTGGGTGAAATTGTTGAAGCAAATAGCATTATCTAATACTACAATCTCTTGTACACACAAAAAAAATGTTACACTTGGGTGCAGCAGATACATTATAAAAAGCACAGAATTAGGTTTAGAGTAAACAACGTTTTTCAACTTCAACTTTTGTGTCTGTGGCTCCTCCGTTTTGCGCGACGATTTCACGTCAAGGTTGAACGACTAATTTATTAAGGACTCGGTGCGATGGTGAGATAAATTGCCGGTTATTAAAATTAAGCGGTTATTATGCAAATTGACAGTTATAATCTTTTAGTCAGTTATTCACAGGCAGAACATCACTTGGTTGCTAAGCGTCGTATTCTAGAACTCTACTCAATGCTCAAGTCAGGATTGCACTGGAAATACGACCCTAATGGCAGGGACTTGAGTATGATTTCGAGTGCTTTAAACCATACTGAAATCCTGACTAGAGCACTGAGTAGAGTTCTAGAATACGGCCCTAAGAGTGACATCTCAAAGAATGAGAAGCATAAAATATAAAACCTTTGTGTATACAATGAGATTATAGCGTTAGATAATGTAAACTATTTGCCTAAACAATAGTCCATCATGGTAAGTAATAATATAGGTATACCAGAATCTCATGGCACTAAATATTACAAAAATCCAATCACTTTCACCTGGCAATGTTAACTTGTCACATGTTAATTCAAAATATTACTTGTGAGAAATGTCCATCTGCTAAATTTTTTTCACTTGCACATAATGATTTTGTAGCAATAATTATTGAGAATTCTCTTCACTCTCAAGCAAAAAACATTGTAATAATGTTTATTGCAAAATCAGCAACACATTAGGTCTAAGTCACAATTCATGGTTTAGAACTTGATCTTTGAAATTTTAACAAAGCCAAATCAATGTACGTGATATTGTAATATTCATTGGTACTGGTGCTTGTCAGCAAGACTAGCGTGTAGACAATGATTGGCAAATATAAATGGTAAATGGCGTAAATGCGAGTTACTTCAAACTGCAAACGTAAACAAATCTAACTCTAACAATGTAATCGAAACATTTTTGTTTAATTTTAAAATGTGACAGAAATTACTTACCTTTCTCTTTTTTTTTTTTTTCTACCTTTCTCACACACAAATTCATACAGATCTTAAAACATGTATGAGGATAGGTCAATTCTGGTCAATTAAAATATATGAAGCATCATTTTTTCCTACTATATTGATGTTGCCCACTACACATTTAAATTTGTCTAAGTGCCATCAGATTCTGGTACACGTATAACAACTTCAATAAACAAAAGTGAATAATATTATTAAAAAAGTATCAGAAACTGGTTTAGTTGCCCATGTTCAATGTCATTAACAAGTTATATTGCTATACTATTGAGATAATCATAACGGTATCGCCTTTGATCCTGCAGATGTCCAATGCGAGAAGCAGTATTACAATCACGGCAAACACCGCAGAAAGCACTTGTTACAACATGAAATGGACTCTGGTAATAAAAACTTGAATCTTTCAAATGTTTGCTTTTCTTGTGACATCTCACATGTAAATATATTTCTAGAACCATTAGAAGAACAACCAGCAAACTCGGACAATTCATAATGACAGTCGGAATTAGAAGCATGCGATAACTAACTGGGTTTGAACCATCCATGATTTTTTCTTTCAATGATTGAAATTTCTTAGTCTTCGTTAGGTATCCCTTGGGAAATTTTATGTGTTTCTTCTCGTGGTCTGTAGTAGAATGGGTTACATTATATCTGAAGTCATTTAGAGAAGGAGGAACGTTATTTTCAATTAAAGGCTCTCCAGTTTCCTCGTTAATTTGATAGAGGGTGATCTCCCCTGTTTCGTCATCGCAACAGAAGCCTTGCATGTCCGCCATCGCGTGCCGCTTTATGGATGAGATTCTAAAACTGAAAATAATTACATTACAATAACATAAGATGGCTTGAAAATATGATTAATTTAGAAGAACTAAATACTAACCAAATAACCACACTGCGATGTTTTACACAGATTCATTTCTTCTTTATTTATTAGTGGCTTGTTTTGTGTCTTTCACAATTCCGCCAATGTCACGTAGGTAGCCCCTACACGGGAGGAATGGATTTGTTTTCAAATATAATTTTGACCCTTACTGCTGTCTGTGAGACTCGAAGCGGGTTTATCTAAAACAAAGCACGCAATTGCAACATCACAGGACAACACAAAGCATAGCCTAATAAAACAGGGTTGTTAGTAAACTTTTTAGGTATATTAATGAGTTAAAGCAAGCATTGTAGTTTTAGACAGGGGTTCTATAAGAAATTAAAAGTAAAAAACCAATTAGATAAAATAAAAAAAAAGGAAAAAACAAAAAAAGGGAAAAGTATTTTACAATTTTAATTGGTTTATTGCCAAATATTTTTTTTTTAATTTTAAAAGGAAGGGCTAGGACTCCTCGAGGATGCACTTTATGTTGTTTGAACGAGGGACATCTTGAGGGAGTAAATCGTAAAGAGAAATGTTCAGCTTAGGGCAGTTAAAAAGAAGATGGTCTGTGGTGCCATTCTCAACGCCACACCCAGACAGAGAGGTATTCCTTATCCTAATTTTAGCAAGATGGACAGGTGTATATGCATGCCCAAGCCTTAGGCGACAGATGATGAGTACGGCCTGTTTACTGAACAATTTTTGTTTAAAAAACCAGGTATCTCGTAGTAGTATTTAGCTGCCCGGTTTTTCGTGTTTTGCCAATCGATCTCAGTAGATGGTCATGCGCCAGGGTGAGAAGATCATGGTGGTAAACTTTACCATAGGTTACGGAGCCACTGGTGATGGCCTGTTTAGCACTTAAGTCTTCAATCTCGTTACCGGAAATACCGCAGTGCCCTGGGATCCATGCCAGGATAATGTTAAGTGGTTTAAGTTGGCATCGGTACAATACTATTCGGATTTTCAAAATAATGGGGAACTTGTTTTTGAGACGGAACGGATTTGCTAATATTGCCTGGAGGGAACTTTGAGAGAGACACTAAAGATAATGGTTTTACCTAAATTATGGGATTCAGCAAACTGGATTGCCTCAAGGAGAGAGACTGCTTCTCCGGTAAACGCAGAGGTTAGCGGGGGGAGTTTGTAGTTAAGAAGTTGTTGGTAGGCAGGTATCCATACGGCTGATCGCACAGCACCACCTTCTTGCAATTTAGAGGCATCCGTGTAAATCGGGAGCCAGCCTTCTTATTTGGTATCTAATTTTTCTTTTAAAGAGAATATTTGTTAATGCCAAAATGAGGATAACTTCTGGTTTAAACATTAGCCATTTATAATTATTATTAAATATTGGGACACGAGTGAACTGCTCTATGGGCAGGGAAGGTTTCCAGAATTTGTTAAAGCTATGGAGCACACATAGAGTTTTATAATTAGCAGATTCCCTCGTCGCCTGCGACAACATCTCTAATCGTTCCAGAAGGGGGTGAGAAGCATGTTGCACTGCTTTAATAAAGAATCGGTCACTGCGGAATTGCCTACGACGGTAAAGGATCCATGCATTCGATTTGAAGTCCATTAATCGGGGATGATTACATAGCGCCCAGAATTATGCGAAGACATTTGGATTGTATTTTAACTATTTTATCCAGAGGTAATTTATTACATGGATCCAAAAGGAAGGAGTCGTAATTCAAATGGCTACGGACTATTGCGTTATATAGCAGTTTTTGGGTAAAAGGATGTGCACCCCACCAAATACCCGCGAGGGCACGGAGAACGTTAGCACATTTACCGCTGATGTAGTTAAAGTGTTGAATCCCACTTAGTTTGGAGTCCAAAAACATGCCCAAGAATTTGACATGTGTATCTACGGGCATGTAGTCACCTTGACATAAAATCTGGGGGGATGGGATATTCCTTTTTCTACAAAATACAACACAACAACACTTGGGAACCGACAGTGACAAGCCATGTTCGGCTAACCAATCGCTCAGAAAGGTTAAGGCAGAAGTGAGGCGCGATGTCGCTTTCTGGACTGATTCTGATCGTACATACAGGGCTACATCGTCAGCATACTGCAGGACCTGGCAGAACGAGTTAACCGTCTTTTCCAGATCCAACGTGTAAACATTGTAGAGAAGGGGGCTAAGTACAGAGCCCTGGGGTGGCCTTTCCAGGCAGATAGGGGAGGAATACAAGTACCATGGCAGCGAATTTCGATAGATCTGGCTGTAATCGAGTTAACAATAAAACGCACTAACTTCTCAGGGACACTCAGCTGACGTAGCTTACTTCTGAGCACCGGAAGAAGGACATTATCGTAGGCGACTGCTATATCCAGGAACACGCCTACGACATACTGTTGCTTTTGAAACGCTAAACGAATATCTGTGGTTAGGATACTCAAGCTATCTGTAAGTGTACTGGATCCCTTTCTGAACCCGAATTGAGTTTTTGCCAATAGACCGTGCCTCTCTAAAAACCATTCCAGTCGATTCCTTATCATATGTTCCATCACTTTGAATAGGGTAGAGGATAGGGCAATCGGTCTGTACGAATTGCAGTCGAGGGGATCTTTGCCGGGCTTAAGAAGAGGGATGATAATTTGTTTGTTCCACTCATCCGGTATTTAACTAATTTTAGATAGTATAATTTTGTTTTTTCTGACGAATTTACGAGGAATGAATATGGGATCCCATCTATTCTCGGAGCAGTATCCTTAAGTCCGTTAAGTACCATATACAATTCCAGTAGAGAGAAAGGATCATCTAGTTCTTCAAAAGCATAGATATAGGTGAAAGTATGTAACGGGAGATTGTCCTTGTTTGGGACTGATGGGGGTGCTAGCTTGTCCGCAAATGAGTGAATCCAACCAGAAGGGTCGTTTGAGGTGTTTCCTTTAGGGCGTAGAGAGCCGCGGAATCTTTGAATCTGTCTCCAGACTACGGATGATGGATTACGAGGTGACATGCTTTCGCAGAAATTTGTCCAACTATGTTTTTTCTTTGGGGCCAGAACCCTTCTACATTGGGCTGCTACCTGCTTGTAGTGTAGGAAGTTCTCCTTAGACATTAAATCATTGTACTTCTTTTCTGCCTCCTTCCTTTTACGGAAGGCGTCCGTGCGTCAGCGTCCCACCACGGAGGTGAAATCCTTCTGCGCGTTGTTTGTTTCTGAGGGATGTTGGTGTGTGCTGAAGTTAAAAGGGTTTCCTTGAATACCCTGTATGCCGTAAGACAACTGTCCGGCGTCACGTCAGGGAGGGACTCCACTTTATTATTGATTCCCATTGAAAAAGATGACCAGTCAACTTTATTTAATCTAAATTTTAAAAGTGGGGAAGTGCAATGAACTTTTAATCTTTTATCCGGCAAAGAGATAAGAATGGGGTAGTGATCACTGCCATATGTACTTTTGAGAGTGCGCCATGTTAAAAGAGAAGCCAACTGCGGGGAACAAATTGTTAAGTCTATTGCACTGCGTGGGTTCTGAGTTGGGTTGGGCCTGCTTGTGGGGCTGCCGTTATTTATAACGCACAAATCCAGCTCATCCAGGAGGTCAACAAGTAGGGTACCAAATGTATCTGAACGATAAGATCCCCAGGACTCATGGTGCGCTTTAAAATCGCCCATAACAACTGTAGGGAAGGGGAGCACTGATATAATGGAGCGCGGATCTTACAAAACAAGAAAATTAGGGTGGCGAATATATGTATATTGACACCAAAGAGATATCATCAATCCTTACTACTACGGCGTTAAGTATATCTCTATTGTGTGAGGGGAGATGGATTTGGGAGAAGAGCAAGGATTTATTAACGAAAAGTGCGCTCCCTCCATGTCCATTGTCTCTGTCATCACGGAGACACGAGAAGACGGGCACACTGAAAATGTAGTCCGTGGGAAACCATGTCTCCGAGATGGCAAGGACTAATGGAGAGATTGTGTTTATTATATACTGGAATTCATGTTTTTTGGAATTCAGACTGTTACTATTCCATTGAACAATATTCAGAGTCATTTTAATGAGTAGATTTAAAAGAGGTAAAGCTTTTGGGGCAGTGTTGGGAGGTAGTGGGACATCACTAAATTTTTTCAGAATGTTAGTGACCAGTAACCATAGAAGGTCAAGGCAGTCATCATTAGGGGCGGTCTCTGCTGTGTTTGAGGAGTTACCTAAAGCACAGCCATTAGGAAGAGTAGAAGGACAATCTCTAATTATATTGTTGTGTGTTTCTCTGTCGTAACTTTTCCCTAAAGGGCCTGATTGTCGAGGTGTCAGAAATACTGTTTTTCTATAAGACTGTGTTAGTGAAGTTAGTTAGCTGGGTGTGCTAGTGGGTACCCATGATGTGTCCACATATGATCTTTTAACATTTGGGAATAGAGCAGCAGCTTCCTGAAACAATATATTGTCCTGTGACTTATGCAATTTTAATACATTTTTGCCAGGAGTGCTCAAGGCAGTTCCAGCTGGTGGCAAAATGGGTACCTGAACAATGCAAACATGTAGCATTATCCTCCACTACTGAGTAAGTCCCCCAGAGTGGGCACCTAACACCTAGGCTTGGATCGGCATTGGGTCTTAATGTGCCCGAAACAGCAGCAGTTGTTACATTGTATAGTGGGCAACTGGTAAGCATCTACTACTATAGACTATATATATTAGATATGTAATAAAGGAAAATTCTCGAGTGTAGACTTTGACCTTGAAATGTCAGCACAACTGTTTGGGTGGGGGTCCATGTAGTAACTCCATTATCAATCTGCTTGCGGGTTAGTCTTCTAGCTTTTAGCACAACACCACAATAGCCTCTACTAGCTCCTCCATTGTCAACTCAGTAGGGATACCTCTGATGAGCCCTAAATGTGTGACATTGTAATTCAGAATCACAGCTTCATATTTAAAAAATAAAAAAATAAAATAAAAGGGACTTTATTCTTCAACACAGGAAACAATACATAAACACTTAAAATAATAACTTAAAAGGTCTGTAATGAAGAAAAGGTTACAGCCTCAGCAAGATGCTGGTTTTCAGGCTTTACCTGGTGATAAAAAATTTTGACGTAGAAATTTAAATAAATTAGTTGCTGCAGACACCGCAGTATGCAATTTATAATTAAATATATATTTCAGAGGGCACCTCACTCACCGAAATTATACAACTACTATAAAACAACACAGAAATTGAGTAAAAATCTTAAATTATGAATCAAATGATACACGCACTGACCATATAGCAAAATAGGTATAAAAAGCATTATACTCACTACTTATATATAGAATAGGATAAACTAAGAATGAAATTTAATTGAACATTATTGATTATAATTATATATTATATTTACTTGTGTATTTTTGCTAACATACCAGAACCTAATTCACCTCCAACCAACAGCACGAAGTCTTCTGTTGTTTCAGTAGCCATTCTTTATACATATATTTGAAAGTATAGGATGACTTGCATGCTTTAATTGGCGGTGGAAGATCGTTCCAACATTTAGAAGCGGCAAAGCGGAAACTGCCTCTAAACGAGTGCAATCTAGGAGTTGGTGATAATTTAAGACTCGGGTAGCGTATCGTACGGGTGCTGCCCCCCGTCCTATCATTCCAAACTAGTTTATCTGCCAAATACGGGGGCGTCGGGTTACTCCTCAAAGAAAAGACAAGTTTGCCCAGCTTCAACATTCGCCTATTCGTCATGTTCAAAATGTTATAAGTATTAAGATAAGGGGTAATGTGCGACCTAGGCGGAACTGTATAGCAAAACCTAATACATGAGTTTTGGACTCTTTGAATTTTATTCATTGACTTTTTCTGTAAACAGGGACCATACACGACATCACAATAATCGACGATTGATAAAACAAGAGCATCCGTCAGCCTACGTCTCACATTCATACTCAAATAGGGTCTTATCTTATATAGCTGTTTAAGTGCAGCATAACATTTAGGTACTTTAGAATCCACATATTTGTCAAAGTTCAGAAAGCTGTCAAACAACATGCCAAGGTTCCTAGGTAGTAATGATTTAGATATTCTCTGTTTATCAATCATGATGGAAGGATCTACACCATCAATACACTTAATCTGATTTTTTGTATAAATGATTATTTATATAAAGGTAGTAAATGATTGTTCTTAAATTTTTAAAATTTGAGTCTTAAATTTCACAGCTATTGTGTTCCGACCAACCTTTTTTATTCCGCCATCAACAACATTACTAATTTTATTTTTGTTTAACAATTGACCAAAGATTATGGGGCGAATAGTAGTACCAGATGAGGGAGTTGTTTCCTGTTGTGAAACATGGACAATAAACGGACCTTTATCTTGTTCCGAATACAGTTTGGGCGGCTCAACTGTACATTGCCATCGCACGAGTTGAGAGTTGAAATTAATACGGTGAATAGATTACATAGTTAGCAGTCTAATCCTAAAAATTACCTTTAGGAAACTCGTAGTTTTGATAATAAAAAATATTTGAAATACTCGAAAATAAATGATAGGAAACAGGTTTTGTAGGTTAGGATAGCACAGCGTTTGGTCAGTGTAAATTGTAATTTGTTTTGTAATTGTAATTTCTGTCAGTGTAATCTGTGAAAATTGCATTGGGATCACTGGATTGGCTTGTAACCGGGGGTGTGGACGACTGTTATTGCAGTGGATCCGTTATAGCTTTTTTATTGGGTTTTGGTTGAGATTCATGATCAATATCCAGACGTCGTTTTGTGGGCATATGGCGTAAAGACCGGAAGAGATAACTACATTGGCACTGGAGACAGATCCCTGTCTGGGGGATCAGGGCGATCGGGAGGAACCCTGTCCATTGTTTACGACGTAAACAACGGAAGGGAGGGAGTTTAGTTAGTAATTAAGCACTTACCTAAACTGGTAAACATAAAACACAAGTATATACTAATATAAAACAGCTCAGAGACACTGGAACAATCGCCTAAAACAACCAAATTCCAAACACGTGTATCAGCTAACACACGCCAACCTCCACAGATTCATTTGCTTTATAATTATAAATGAAGACATCACCTGTTCATTTTTTGACAATCCAAAAAAAGGATGGAAAAACAACACATTCAACGTGATTTCCACTTTACGATGCAATCATAGACAACAGACTGGAACAAAATATGAACATGGAAAAATCACAAATCACTAATACAAAATAATATTATTATTATTATTTCCTTTAGGGCGACCACTACTATAGTCTTCAGTTTTATAAAAATAATATAGAAAATGTGCCAGTGTCAGTATCATTTACTACGGGTGAAAAATTTTTTGCTCTTTTACTGTCCAAAAAGGACAGGCTAATCAAAAAGTACGTACGTACGTCATCATAGTTCTAAGGGTCGTATTCCAGAACTCTACTCAATGCTCAAGTCAGGATTTTAGGGTCGTATTCCAGAACTCTACTCAATGCTCAAGTCAGGACTTGAGCAGTGAGTAGAGTTCTGGAATACGACTCTTGTATGGAAAGTGTTATATATTTGATGTCACCTATAACATAGAGGGCATAGAGCATATACTCTATATTTGAGGTAGAGGGAGAATAAAAATTTTAATGTTTAGAATGTGTTTAGATTAGTGGTCTGTGGTCTAGACCACAGAATAGAACACTATATTCGCAAGGAGGTCTAGACGCGTTCAAAGTGGATGACACGGTTTCATTTTCATAGAACTGGGCACAACATACCGTATCCCTTTGCCCATAACCTTACCATCAATATTTTTAAAACAAAATTTCTCCTGGTGATTTTCGGCAGGTAATGTCACGTTTTTGTGAATTTGTATTATTTTTTTACGATCTCTTCTTGAAATTTTGTTAATAATTATGTGATTACGTACCTATTTATCGCGTAGTGTAGCCAAAGTCGTAACCTTCGTGTTGCGTTTTAGCTGTGAAAGTACGATTTGTGTTGGCATGGGATGAGCACCCTCAAGCCTACAATATTCCTACAAAGTACATGTCGTAGATGAAGCAGGAAATACGGTATTTGTGTATGTAGCATTGTACTTTGAATATCTTGCGAATGTCCGTTTTAATCGACAGATTGTAAGATAGATACCATGTCTAATTGACCTAGTCCATCCTACAGACTGGCAAAACGCTTAAATTTTTATTAGACGCACTTCGTTTACGTACACGAATTTGTTCAATACAACGCGTCACTAAGAGCGAGTTTACATTTTGAAACTATAACAATGATTTTTGTGAAACTCGACCTATCCGATCCACGTATTTATTTTAGGTGATAATTTGTGTCGGTGTTCGATGCGATGCTTGCTTCCTAGGCGAATTCCATTGTTTTATCACAAGCGCTCTGTGCTACTAACTCTTTTTCACCCTAGGATATCTATAACTACAATTTGTTTTGCATTGACTTTTCTCCATCACATAGATTTTTCCTCTGCTGGCATGTGTCAAAAGTAAGAAAAGGATTTGTGTTCAATGTGTGATTAAAAAGTCATACCACACAGTCCCTTTCCAGTGTTTCATTTTATTAAAATAAGCTATAATTATTTTATTAAAATAAATGAATACCATCCAGTTTGGTACTGGATGGTATTCATTTAAGCAAGGTCCACCAGTATCTCAATAGATGCTGTAGATGCTGCAACATTTCACTTGTTATTCAGACACCTAGGTTATTTGGAGGGTGAGGGAGTAAAAACATTTTAAATGCCTCTGTGGCTGATAGGTTACCATGCTGGACTGCCACGCAGAGGTCCCAGGTTCGGTTACCAGGTCGGGAGAAATTTTTGTATGGCATTCATTTATTTCTCTTGTGAGTTTGTGTGTTATTTGTGGTTATCTATGTGTGTGTCCATAGCAGCCACGATACAGGGTTACCCTAGTATGGGGTTATGAGTGTTTGCATTAACAGAAAATAAAATTTTAATGGCTGGTGTGATCTCAAGTGATAGTTCTTCTGGTCAATGATTTTTCAGATCTGTTCAGTAGACATAATCTTGTGTTTAATAATCCTAAATACAAAACTAGTAAAAGATTTCTTACACATAGATATGTGACAGAGGTTGATGTGGTAACATATGTTTGTATATTTCCAAGAATCAAAACTGAGATACATCTAGATGTCTCTTGGTTTTACATTGTAACATCCATTACTCCCATCGAGTACATAACCAGAAATAGAGACAAAATGTCATTTAATTTGTTTGAAAACTATTCTGCCATATCATTACTGTGACAACTGCGCTCCAATTGGCTAGCCTCAGTTCAAAACAATTGACAGGTGTCGTCAACTGTTTCACTTCAAACAACCAATTAACTTGAGCTTTCCTATTATGGACGAAAATTATAAAATTACATATTTAAAATTTAATTACTGATGAAATGTGATTCTAAGATATTTATAAGAGCTATATCGCTAATGTGTTACCAGGAACATAAGGCCCTTATTTCGTTTCTATTTCTGGTTATATACTCGATGATTACTCCTGACTTGTACCAGTCTATTCCCGGGTGAACGCATATTCCTAACATGGCCATGATATGTAACTCCACCAACCCCACCCCACTTGTGGTGCATACACAAGAAATAGAGACAAATTCTAAGATCTCAATCCACTGTCTTGTGAAAACAGGGACAGTACAAAGTACCATAAAAACATAGTGTAAATAAAAACCGACTAGTTAAGCTGCCTCCATTCTGAAACCAATTTGGTTGAAACAACATGGCAGACAAGCATGAGGTTGTTAGTTATTATCTCGTGTAGAAACAGTCTTAATTTGTATGTTATTTACTTGTACTTGTCAATATACCTCCAGTTCGATATTCATGCTGCCCATTTATGCCAGCTGTAATTTAGGTATTGAGTAACATATACTCTTGCGTAAATTGATTTTGACACTACTGCCAGTCATTTGACATGTTGCAAATAAGGCCAACTGACTACTACATAAAGGCGCCTTGATGCTGCATTCACCGCATGATCGACCAGAGTCATGGTATAGTTTAATGAGTTGATTTTCCAACTCGAAGTCGTAGCACTTATTTTGCATGTAGTTTTAGACATAACCATGTAAATAGACAGTCTGTCCGATATAATGTTTTCAAATTACGAACTTTAGGAATGGATTTGGTACTTCACTCTGAAATTCAGACCAGCTTTCAAGTCTTACAGTTAGGGGCTGCTTAACCACTGTTGAGATTTAATTTAATTGACATACTTTAGGGGTTACACACAACAACAAGACTGTTCGGCTGCAGTAACTACAGTTAATCCTAAAACACTGCCAGCATCTATTATATCAATTTAATTAAGAGTTTAATACCCAATGAATAAACTGGCTGTTTTAATCATAGGTTATAAAGTTATAATTATATGTTATGTTGTAAAGTACTGTTTACGTTGTAAAGTGTATTAATTAAGCACATCATTACTGCAGCAGTGTGATCTGTCTCCTTGCACCCCAATATCTTAATATTGTACAATTAAATTGCAGGTCAAACAAGTAAGAAATCATTTGCAGAGACATGGGGAAACCGTAAGTACCACACACATTTATTCATTATAGATTTTAGGGTGACAATTATTTGTTAAACCTGCGATTATGATGCAAGGAACTGCTCTAAAATGCAGCGCGGAGTACAATAATAATAATAGTAATTATCCATTTACTTGTGAAAACACAGGTTATGTAGAAGCTGACATGTGTATTATAGTTTCACTGTGTCCGGCAAAACATTATTCTACAAATAAAGAAGGTATATTATACATTGTGTGACATATTTATAAAGCTTTTCTAAGACCTTAGTACTTTCGATAAATTATTGTAAATTTTTGGCGCCATAACGTTGATCATAACGTCTTGGAATCAAATTTCGGGTGCATTCGGACATATACAGCAGTTTCGTAGATATAATGTGAAGGAACAGTCCGTACTCGAAGATCCTTGAAATATGTTTTGCAGCTATCTATTTTTTTCAATCGATAAATTAGTCTGACACATCTTTTTTGTGCCTTAAAAACTGACTTTGTATTGCCCCATATTACACCGTATCTTAATATGGAAGCAACATAACCGTGATATGCTTGAAGAACCGAGTCTCTTTCTTCAACTTTGCTAAGCATATATAATGCAAACAGTTATATTGTTGATAGTCTATTATTTAATTTATTGTTAGGATAATATTATTTGATCCTCAAAGTTATAATTGATCTATTGTAAATGTGCACTTTTTTAAATAAACGATTTTTTAATATATATATTAATTGTTCCATCTATATTAGTTAATCTACAGATAAAATATTAATGAACTGCATTCAAGGTAACACTATCTTCAAGCATACTAAATTAACATTTGGTATTCAAAACTAATATTTGATCTGATCTTGTATTATTTGTATTTTAACGATTGATGACATTTATAGAATAGAATAAGCTTTATTGCACACAAAATAATAAACACTGACAATACAAAAAAAATACAATATATAATTTATAACCAGTTACTTTTAGTTTACTTTTAATATTGATCTCCTAATAAATCTTGGTTGCGCTTTCCAATCAGTAGGTTAGGTTAGGTTAGTATATGAAAAAGCAGAAGCCAATTTGCTTGCGTGTTCGAACAACTTTTCAGGTCAAATTATATTATAATGAATATAATATTAGTATACAAATATAATCAACATTTACTCAGTTTTAAGTATTAAGTAAAAAAAATAAGTATTAAATAAGTATTAAAATTTTATTTTTAATGCTCATTTGTCTTAGTTTTGACGCCCTACATAAAACTATCAAAGTTAATTTACACAAACCAAACATTTTTTGCGTGTAGCTCAGAACAGATTAAAATATCTATTGATTTCATTTATTTTATGTCTCGGAGAAAGACGATCAATCTTTAAAAAAGATGACCATTTAGATATTTTTGTCTGCTGCATAAAACAACAAATGTGCGAAATACATTTAAAATGATCATTTAAATACATGCCTTTAATGGTATGTTGGGTTAAAACAAACTCTTTTGATTAAATTCTTTTCCACCTGATAAAGCTGACAACAGCTCAGGGAAACATGGTCACCTCTAAATCAGAAGTAATCGCGGAAGTAGAAAATTGTATACAGACTTATATGCCCAGGAACGACCCAGATCCGAGACACTTAACGATCCAAGAGCCAAATTGACTCACCACCATTCGGATGAGCATCCCGAAATCGACGTGGGTGAGATTAGGATAGCACTCGGACAGCTTAAGAACAACAAAGCCCCGGGAGAGGACGGAGTAACAATAGAGCTCATTCAGGCTGGCGGAACTACCTTATTAAAGGAAATAGCCAAGTTTTTCAACTCCGTTCTCGACACGGGCGCTATACCGGAGACATGGAGCGAGAGTGTGGTGGTCCTGTTTTTCAAAAAGGGGGACAAGACCCTTCTGAAAAACTATGGACCCATCTCGCATGTACATGACTCAGGAGAGTCATGTATATAAGCTGTTCTCGAGGATTATCACGAATCGTCTTGCCCGAAAATTCGATGATTTTCAGCCATCGGCGTAGGCTGAATTTCAAAAAAGCTTCAGTACTATAGACCACATACACCTTGAGACAAATTATTCAGAAGACCGAAGAATATAACCGACTCTTGTGCCTAGCATATGTGGATTACGAAAAAGCCTTCGACAACATAGAAATCTGGGCTGTTCTGGACTTCTTGCTGACATGTCAGATTGACTGCCGTTACATCGAGCTGTTGAGAAGTCCTTACGCTGTAGCTACGATGACCGTCCAAGTCAAACGACAGAGCACAAGACCAGTTCAACTGCGTCGTAGAGTGAGACAGGGAGACGTCATCTCTCCAAAACTGTTCACTAGCGCGTTGGAGAATGTTTTCCCTAACGAGGTCATACGTCAGAGAACTAAAGTGACCGACATAGCTCGCATAATCAGTAAGCTTAAGTGGCAGTGGACTGGGCATGTCTGCTGGAGGGTTGATCGCCGATGGAGGAATTGTGTACTATATTTTATTGTTTGTGCAAATGAATGAATTTAACCAATCGGTTATCAGCACAGCGTCTATACTAAATCTGTTTTTCTGGTTTTGTGAGGTAGTGTTAAATTTAGCGATGCAAGTATGCATCTTTCAATGTTATATTACAATAATAAAATTCTAGTAATACCTAATGGAATAAGACCATTCCTTTTAAAGTAAATTTATCATCGTGTATATAACAAATTCAACAAGTATTAAAGTGCACATCTATTCACTTTTAATGTCTGTTGTTGTGTTGAAAAAAACTTAAGACCGTACAAATTTGCGGCCCAAGTCTTTGGCAAATAATAGTATCTCGTTTTGACAACTCCGCGCTGTTCTGTCGAAATAGAATTACTATTGAAACTCAACTTTTTGTCGCTTCAATTCGGTGTGTTAAAATTCACCTAGATGAATTAAGTACATTTTTAGTAAACTTAAATTACCTGGGTGCATTTTAGTAGAAAAAGGCCCTTACATATCTTGCGCACCCTGCTCAATACGTCACACATTGACCAGCCTAGCTTATTTGAATAATTTCTTCCATTTTTAAACAGGCTTTAATGTTATATCGGAATTTGGGATCAATGATAGATGTCAATAATGATGATGAAGATGTCGTTTTTTTAAGGAAAATCAATGTTGTGATAGGGCAGAAATGACCACAACATACTTCGTCGTTTCCTTAACAATAGTTTGTAGGATTGTAGTTCCGGTTCGATCCATACACTGAGACCGGGACGTCAGAAACTTAAGGTGCGACGTGTCGTCATAGTTTCATACGTCTCCGTCTCATTTTTATGGTGCGTTTTTGGCCCCGGACTGATCCTCTAGTCCAACCGCCATATTTGTCAATTTTATATTATTAGTTATCTGTAGATTGCTGATTATTATTTAAACCACATTTAGTAATTGAGTTTGGATGGCCTATAGAGAAAAACTACTAACAATCCGTGGCATGATATACACGTCGTTGTATTATTTTATCACCGGCAGACTGGCCGCGTCATATCGAACGTTGCTTCAGAAGCAGGTCCCGCAATTCTGGGAAGCGCATCGGAGTTTCGCCGCGCGTTAGCTTTTGCAAGTTGTATGTCTTGACAAATACAAATACAAATGTATGTAGCGCTAATCCAATGACTTAACTGACTCAGAGGCCGAACGGTTACCATGCCGGACTGCCACGCGGAGGTCTCAGGTTCGATTCCCGGGCCGCGAGAAAAGTTATTATTGATGAGTGAACCCTAACACACTACAGCGTTACACTTACAGATAAAATGGTTCGGAGATGCGCAAACTAATTGATTGAGCACGAATTTTGGTACAATAGCGGCACTTGCAAAAAGCCAAGCCAACACTTTTTGAAAATAAAAAAGAAGTAAAGCGGCTTGCTTGTCTCCCGATCTCTTTGAAACGGCCTGAGAAAAAATTTCTAACCTTTTCATGTGAAAGATGTGTCAGAAACTTCAAAGCAACTTCAGAACTCTCGGAATATTGTGACATAATGTCGCAAAAAATGTATATTGTTATTTGTTGATTATTTGTATAACCATGTCATACAATTTAAAAATGATGTGATGTTTTTCACAATCCCAAAAACAGGTATTTACTATCAACAATGGCATAACCAATGAAAATGTAAAGTCAATATTTGCATTAAAACAATGTGCAGCCATCCACTTACCATCGACATTTCCATTGAGTTCGGTTACCCTGACTTGAAATCAAGGTAAAAAGCTATTATTAGGTCCATGTAGATAGATATCAGAAGACAATTTCTTTCGTGCGGGTATACGCAATTTCTTCAATTGAAATTAAATTTTTAATTTTATAATGCCATAAACAGAGCACTACATAACCAATTTGCTCTTGTACTTACAGTGCTGTTGAATACGTTATTAACGGAAACAATCCACCCGTGTTGGTGCAAAGAGCTTCGAAAAATGCAAGTGTAAGTACAACATCATAATTAATTGGTTTCAGGGCGAAACAGGACTCAGATATGTCGACCAACGGAAAGTACAACGAAGACAGTAAAAAGAAAAAAAAGAGTAAGAAACACAAGAAACGGCCTGAGGACGATGATAAAGGCTACAAGAAAAAGAAGAAAACTAAGAAAGAAAAACAGAGAAGTCCGTCAGAAAGCGAGACTTCCCTATCTGACATTGAAGAACTTTTAAAGAAATCTCGACAATGCAAGCCCAAGCGCAAAGAGTCGTCGATAGATTCCCCACTTATTGATTCTGTGGAATTACCGCGGCAAAAGACTAATAACGGTGATGTGAAATCACGAAGCAGCAGCCGGAATAATGCAAGGAATGTGGACGAATTGGAAATAATATCGTCTAATTCCGGAACGGAAAACTATCAGGAAGACTGCGCGAGTCCAGAACTCACGATTGAAGATGACCTCAACCTGGAAGAGTTAATGAAACAGAAAGAATTACTTCAGGCACGCCTTGTTGCTTACTATTCCGATAAAAGTGATGAGGACGTCAATGCCAAAAACTCAAAGGGGGAAGTGATCTACCTGAACGATGATGATAACAAATCTACCTCGCGGAAGAAGTCACGAAGGGATAGAGACGATCACAAGCGCAGCAGCGCACATAAGTCGAGTAAAGACAGATCGTCCGAACGGGACAGACACAAGTCGAAAAGGAACGAAGAAGATTTGAGAGTTATAATAAATAGAGAAAATAAGAAAGAAATGGAGAGAAGACTAGAAGAAAGAGAGTACAGAGAACGGAAAGAAAGAGAACGGCGCGAGCGTGAAAGAGAACGGGAACGTGAGCGGGAGCGCGAAAAAGAGAGGGAGCGTAAGCGAGAGCGCGAACGAGAAAGGGAGAGAGAGAAGGAACGAGACCGAGATAGAGAGCGTGAACGGGAACGGGAACGGGATCGTAGGTCATCAGAATTGAAGCATAGAGATAGGGAAGCGGCAAGGCGGCGGTCGCGGGACCGCTCGCCGGAGACGCGCCGTAGCCGTAGCCGCAGACACTCGAGTCGCGACAGGCGCCCGCGCGATACTCACAGGGATCGGTCGCGAGAGAAGAATTGTAAAGGAGATAACAGAGATAGGCAAAAGGTAGGTAACATGTTAGTTGTTAGCGAACTAACTAACTCCCCTTTCTAGCCGCACAAATAATTTGTTTATACATACAGAAACTACATAAATCTTCTGTGTGCTAATTTTATACATTTTTGACACAGAACACGATCAATGAGGTGCTCCAGGTGGCTAGTTCGAGCGACTCCGAACTAGACATCTCGATAAATACCGACGAGGAGGAAGAGGAAACAGAAGAGCAGATAATTGAGCGCAGACGGCAACAGCGGGAACAACTGTTAAAGGTGTCTATTTATTTGCCCACTGTTTAACTTTTCTATGGCAAGTAGTCTAATGAAAACAAAAGCTTTACAACAATTGTTGTCTCCTGGACTCGTAGACATGTATCATCTTTTGTTTCACAGTTGCTAAAGTAACTTAAAAAACAATTATATTGAATTAAATTGTTACATTTGCAGCGACTTGGCGGCGATAACCCTACAAACCCTTCAACAGCAGACCGGGCTATACACGCACATGAAAGTAGCACATCACTGGACAAACAAGAATCACAGACAGAAGAGGATAAAACACCTGCATTTGCACCGACAAGAACTGTAGGCGTTGGGCTGGGGACCGGCCCACCACCACCATGGGAACCAGGACTAGGTTGTCTGTTAGACGAGAAGAGCCCGAAGAAATTAAAAGACGTGAGCGAAGAAAAAGCCCAGAAAATAATAAAGAACATAGAAAACGAACAAGCTCAAGGGCTGAGACAGGGATTGCGATTGGAAAAGATGTGGGACAAGCCTGATAAGAAAGCGGGGTGGGATATGTTTTCTGACCAAGATCAAGAGTTAAAAGTGAGTTTTGTATCGGTAATGTATCGGACTGTATACGTCTCATTGATATGCGCAGGTATGTTCTACGGGACAGCCTAATAGGCATTGACCTACCAACAAATGGACATCGGATCTAATATAAAAACCACGAAAAAATTGTCCGACCTTAACTTATGTAAACGTAGTGACATGTAACGATATATAAAAAACTAAAACATTTAATTTAAATTGTTGTCATTGCAGTACTGCCTAATTTTGCTTGCAACCATTTAAGGGCCCAAAAACACCATTTTCAGCTTCTACTGGAAACTTAACAAAATGCACCATATTTAGCTTCGACTGAAAATTATTGAATACAAGAGTAATGGAGTAGCCTTTCTCCTAAATGTTAATTAATTTTTATATATATTATGTCGAATTTTGTACAAATTCACTTGAAAGAAATAATAAAGAGTTGGGCAGATACATACGTACAAATATTACTACAAATTTGAAAATAAGTGTGTACTATAATAAATATACCGATATTTCAACTAAACGTATACTCAAAAATAGCTTTTGTTTTGTAATATTCCTAAAAAAATACATTTGACATTATGAAAATTCGAGCTAACGTTATTTCGGGCAAATGTATTTTCTGACTTCTGATAGGTTATCCCTAGCCGTAAAACTAGTACACCAATGTTTTGTTAGTTATTGCTAACGTTTAATAAAAAGTCATTTTAAAAATAAGATTAAAATCAACACGACTCTATAGTTTCTTTGTTCCAAATATTTCAATCGCTTATGGTTCGAACAATTGAAAATGACCAAGAAGTTTATATACGCTTCTTGAAATTGATGTAATGGGTCTTTTCCCATCTTTTGCGCATGCAATGTATAGAAAAAGGACAGTTAGCGATCTAATTATTTTGTTTGCTTTTGTATTTATATTCATGATTAATTTATATATCAATTAAATACTATAGAACTGTACAAAATAACACTTTAAAATGATAACTATTATAACACAATATATTTATTTAGTGAAAATATGGTACAAAATCCTATTTATACACTTTACTGCAGTAATTTTTACAAGTCATTATTATATATAGTACTGCATAATTGACAACCGCGATGTCAGTCGAACAAACGAAGACTGCTGCGCGATTGACGCTCTGTATGCGATTTTAACGCCCTATAGGTGCGGACACTTTTTAGCGCGAACCCGACGTCAATTTGTTAATAGGTCATTGGGGACTCCAATATGAAGTTTCTCTAACCTTTTTTTTTTGTTTAGCTTTTATTTTGATGGCAGAATTCTTGCCATCTACTACATGTTCATTGTGCAGTGAAGAAAATTTTATGTTTCAGGCGCATAAGTTCGGGCGACCGAACAAAAATCAACACAACGAAAACCCTTCGCTTACAGACAATTGGGATGACGCCGAGGGTTATTACAGGTGAATATAGACCATTACTACTTCTTTGCTTTATCATTGCAATCGCGTAACATTATCGGCCTTATCGTTTAACATCAGACGAAGGTTGTGGCTAAGAGTGCGCATATTTTACATTAAAAAAATTTCGCCCATAGGAATCGCGATATTTTTGTCATGAGCCAAACCAATTAGTAACTACTCGGTGATATTGATTTTATTGAATGTTATGATGTTTTACCACCGTGACATGATATTATTTATTTCTTGTCAAATTACCACACTAGTTCGTTATAATTCAAAGAAAAATTTCTTCAATTCAATTCAGCATTAATTTAGCACTCTACTAGTTTAAAAGCCAGTGTGGGAGATGGGCCTGGTAATGCCTAAATACCGCCGTGTAGAGCACCAATCTACGCTGCCTGGCAGTTCAACAAGGCAGAGTTTTATGGTTAGATACTGTAGACTATGCATTATGGTTTGTATTAGTGCTGGCTGAATGAATGTAGGTTTGTATTTAGAATTTTATAACAAAAAATTGCATTGTAAAAAAAAGAATATCTTGGTTGTTCTAGAACAGGCTTCGAACTGAAAATACGCAGTACATATTTATTCATGAATACAATTCTGGTTTATATTTGAAAAGTGCCTCTCGCAACGCAATCTCACGCCTACGTCCTATTGCAATACCATACCCAGTAAAAGGGATTCCAGTGTTTTGAAACGAAATCAATGTCTGGAAATATCTGGACATACCAGCCCCTACATACATAAAAATAGTTCATTTCCTGTGTTAATTTCTTTATACTTCGCACTCCAAGATTTTCTCGAGGTCTTTGCCAGACCCTCTACGATCTCCCGAAAAAGATAAATAGTCAGCCCTTCGCTGAGTTACTTAAGAAAATAAAAAACAATAAGGAGAATAATGTAAAACTCAAATAATGTTGAAAATACTGTTACATATCAGTTTATAGTGAATAAAAATGCGATTCGAACGGTGGTCTCCGCCATCTTTTGGTACGAAGCGCGGGAGGCGAGGAGGCGATGTCATCCGGCTAGAGCCAACAGAAGCCGAGTGCGGCAAAATTTTACTCACTTCGAATGCCGGTTATTACGGCGTTATACTAATAAATTTTATTCATGTACACATGCCAGCACGTCAAGCTACACAAATAATTCCATTGCACTGGAGGCGATTTTCGAACAAAAATGTGTAGTCTGATGTGCCGTTGTCCGTACTTACATACACTTTTTTATTTGCACAGAGTACGAATCGGCGAGATGCTGGATAATCGATACTCAGTTTACGGGTACACGGGCCAGGGCGTATTCTCCAACGTGGTGCGAGCAAGGGACCAGGCGCGAGGCGGCAAAGACGTAGCCGTCAAAATTATAAGGAACATTGAACTCATGTTAGTATGACTCCTATATCCGTGCTAGTACCAAAAATAATTAAAACTTAAAAAAACGACGTCAAAAATTTGCTTATGCGTTTCGTTACTCCGGTTTCCTCAACGGTAATTGAAACGCATGTGTGGAAGTCGTCCTCAAAACGAAATACGTCAAAAGTTTCTGGGATAAATATAATGGGAAACATAATAAGGATGGATGCTCATATGCTTTTGGTCATTACACATTTTTGAGCAGTGTATACATATAAGCCCCAACACAAAGTAGCTCCTGTACACTGTTGAGGAGTTCCTTTGGTCTGCCTGCCATTTCAAAAAAGGAGGAGGTGCAAATGTTGTCTTATTTTTGTTTATGTAAATGTATAAAACTGAACATGTGTATTTTTGTAAAGGTTCTCACTATACATTTCAATTTATTGAAGTGAGTAGGACTGTGTCAGCTGTTTATAACTCACTTATCGTTATTTTACTGATTTGTAAAAAAAATAATTAGAAATCTACGCAGAAAAAAATAACACGTGATTTGCGAGACAAAAAAGTTTGGGAACTCCTGGAATAAATAATTCACAACATGACTGTCGCGTCACAATCGGTCTAACGGTCAATGTTTACTATTTGACAGGCATAAAACAGGTCTTCGCGAGCTCAAAATCCTGAAAAAAATAAACGACCAAGATCCTGACGACAAGTTCCACTGCGTAAGATTGTTCCGTCACTTCTTCCACAAACGCCACCTCTGCATGGTGTTCGAGCCTCTAGCAATGAATTTGCGGGAAATCCTCAAGAAATATGGCAGGAACACAGGCATACATATAAAAGCTGTGAGAAGCTACACGCAACAGATGCTCTTGGCACTGAAGCTTTTAAGAAAAACTGGAATTGTGCATGCTGGTAAGTATCTTTTGTAATAAAAAAAAAAACAATTCGTCCAGGGAAGTACTGCCACCATACCTATTTCTACCGCCAAGCAGTAATGTCAGCATTACTGCGTGCCGGTTTTGAAGGGTAAGGCTGCTGGTGCAATTACAAGCACATGGGACTTGTCTATGTCTCAGGGTGTCGGGCGTAGCGGCTGTGCCCCGCAGATCTTTGCGATTTAAAGCTCTGAGTGGCACCTCTGACAATTGTTAGAGACAGGCGTGTAGCTTTCCATCAGACTTGTTCGTCCCGTCACTTGATATTATAAAAGAAATATTGATTAAATATAGTATTCCCATCCAAACGAAAGAGTCCCGGCGAAGAAGCTTAATTGGACACAAATAAGTTTAAAACCGTATAAAGCTTTTTTAATTATTACCGTAGTACAGTTATGCAATAAAATTATATATTCAAATGCCATGAAGTAAATTCAATATTTATAAAGTCCTTAACAAAAAAAATCGGATTATTTGTAAAACCAATAAAGATTATACAGTCGCAGTTATACAAAACGATTTCACGATAATACCTACTATACTATGAATAATAATTAGATAGACCTCCAAAATGTAAACAAGGGGAATGACCGAGTATTTTAAGTAGTAGTTTTCTATTTTTGACGATTACAAACGTTTAAAACACTTTTCAAGCTGTAATCTGATAAAACTTGGAACTACTCACATTTTGCAATTTGCAACGTACAATGCTCAACAAAGTCTAATAATTTCTTTTTTCAAATTTAAGAAACAATTTCCTCATGTTTTACATCAAAAGAAGAGTTATATAATTTTAATTTTGATGATAAATAAAAAAAATTGTAATAGTGAAAATATTAATAAAAGCTATGAACAGTCAATCAGACCTGCCAAGGCATTAGCGACGGCTCTGCAACGTCGTGCCATACTAAATATGAGAATGTCGATTGTCGCCTCTGGAATAAGACACCACATCCTGGAAAAATGTGAAAAAAGGCTCTTCTGTATGTAAATTTTGAGAAAGATCATTGAATGCTTTTCTTTGGAGCAAATCCCGCCATGCATGCTCAAAGCCATTGAGATCCGCCAAGTGACCAGGGCCTTACCATGAACTCTTATAATTCAGTATAAGTTCGTGACGACAAAAAAGCGGGAATGGTGATGTACACTTTACGTGGCTCACAACAATTAATTTTAGGTCCTAAACTGAGTCGTAGTGAGAGTTCATGGTAAGGCCCTCTGATAATCCACTCTAAGAACGTGATATCGTACTCGCGGAACATTTTGTAGAAATAGAAACCATTTATTGCAAAGCCACAATATAAAAATGAGACACAAAAGTGGACTCTCTATAGAAATATAACATTTACAAAACAAGTTACATAGTACTATATGTGTGTAGCTATTCAGCTAAAGTTACATTCACAGTTATATACGTGTGATTTCTGACGATTTCATAATATTAATTAATATAATATATTCTCCACCTTCTGCGTGACGTTTTGGGCATTAGTCATAGTTCTAAAATTATTTTAACTGTTGTTAAATTTTCACATTTTTTGTTTACGCCTCTAAATTTCTATTCTAAATTTTATTTATTTTATTTTTTATTTCGTTCCATTATATTTTCTTATAGCGTATTCAATACCTTGACTTGCAATGCCCTGTTCAGGGTCAGGCACTACACTCTAGTCGTAATGTAACACATTTGTAACACCTGACTGTGACAATAAATAAATACAAATACAACCAAGACTATGCTGTGACGCTGGTTTTCAATGGGCCCTAGCCGACGTGAGTGACAGACGTATGCGTCCCAAATGACAATGAAATAAGCTACTTAAATACTTGGCTTATGTGTATATCGTGTTATTGCCGTGTGTACTCTTATATAGAATAAATACTTACATAATCTTTGCAATATACAGATTACATAAAGACATATTCATCACGAGCCCCGCAGTGTGTGCACGTGTATTGTCATGCATAGACATGAAATCTTGGCCCAGCTGCTGTCGGTGAGACATTATCAGGTGTAGCACAACTTCGTCGAAGTATTGTTCCACATTCAAATTGCGTTGGATTCAAACGAGATCAGGTCTTCCAACCAGGCGAATTCCAGCCACACCATTACTGTTCTCACTCTTCTTGAATCGAGATGAAAACCGAAACAAAGCCCGACAGAAAAAAGGACATGCGCTCACTGAGTTTTACTCCAGTGCAAATCTACCTTTTCCCACCATATACGACGTCCTCGATTTCCAGCGACGTAGAGCTCTTAGCTGCTAACGCTCTTAGCGATCTTCGTGTATGAAAATGGACTTTATGTAATCTTTTCCTAGCAGTTTGGTCACGAACAACCAGTCTTTCTACCAGTTGTGAAGCTGTAATATGGAGCTACCTCTTTGCAGTATTTTGCAAAAAAAAACGATCTTGTTTTTGAATAGTTATCCTCCATCTACCTCAGTGACGTTTGGCTACATTTGCTGTAGCCCTCTAGCGTACCCATAATTGGCAAATTATGCTTGGTTGCGGGTTAACATCGTTCTACCAACATCACACTGATTGCACCCAGATTCGAATATACCCACAGGCCTAAGCATCCCTTCCCGATGATGTGACATGACGCTTAAAATTACAAAAATTAACGTAACAATTGTTCGAACCACCGATTGAAATATTTAGAACAAAAGAAACTATAGAGTCGCTATGATTTTAATCTTATTTTTAAAATAATTTGTTATTAAACGTTAGTAATAACTAACAAAATATTGTTGTACTCGTTTTACGGCTTGGGGTTATCTATCAGAAGTCAGAAAATACGTTTGCCCGAAATAACGTTAGCTCGAATTTCCATAATGTCAAATGAATTTTTTTAGGAAGATTACAAAACAAAAGCTAATTTTTTCTTTGTGAAAAGCATCAGCAAGCAGCATTACTCGAAAGCGTAACGGTTTTATTATAAAACGGTTTTCGGAATTACGGATATTTGAGTTTACGTTTAATTGGAATATTGGTATATTTCTTATAGTACACGCTTATTTTCACATTTGTAGTAATATTTATATGTATGTATCTGCCCAACTCTTTATTATTTCTTGAAGTGAATTTGTACAAAATTCGACATAATAATGTATAAAAATTTATTAATATTAACGATAAAGGCTAAGTAACTCTTGTATTCAAGTAATTTTCAGTCGAAGCTAAATATGGTGCATTTTCTTAAATTTCCAGTAGAAGCTGAATATGGTGTTATTGTGCCCTTAAGTTGTTGCAAGCAAAATTAGGCAGTACTGCAATTACGTTACAATTGAAATTGAATGTTTTAGTGTTTTATATTTCGCTACATGTCACTACGTTTGTATATGTTAACTTCGGACATTTTTTTCGTGTCTTTTGTATTAGACCCGACGTCCATTTGTTGGTAGGTCAATGGCTACACCCATATAAGGTTTTCCCCACGTTTTCCCTCCTAATTACGAAACGGTTTTGCTTTTTAAAATTTCGAACCACAATTTAATACAGTTTTAATTTTATTTATAAATTTCAGTGGCCAGTGCTTTTAAAACAAAAATATTATATTAGTTAATATAATTGGATTTTTCCCTAAACTTTGTTGAGTAGTGTATATTTTTACTTAATTGCGTTTAATAAAATATGATATAAGACTATATCTAAGGTCGTCAGTAATTCTACGACATTATTAACACAATCTGGATGATAAATATTTTTTTTGTTGCCAGTTTGTCGTGTTATAGATATCATTGCTGCTTCGTTTCTCGGACTCGAATGTTTTCTTGTCTCCATAGTGTGTTGTTAAAGTTTTTGTTTATTGTCAATATTTTGTAATAGATAATTAAAATTTTAGACTTAATCCTTTTGCTATTCCGTTAAAAATAGAAGATTTCGAGCATACCTGCATTCACACTTTGACAATGACATTTCTTTGTTTACATTTTGGATAATATTTGAAAAAGTATTTTTTTTAAATAATTGAAGAAGTTGTTGAAGATTTGACTTGATGTATTTATTCCGATGTCCGATGCCGTAAAATCAATTGTTAATGCCTATTTTTTATTTGTAGATATCAAACCAGACAATATACTAGTAAACGACAGCAAATTGCTGCTAAAACTGTGCGACTTCGGCGCGGCGAGTCCCGTAACAGAAAATGAGGCCACTCCGTACCTCGTGTCACGGTTCTATCGAGCTCCAGAGATCATTCTCGGTTGCCCATACGAGTATGGAGTCGATATGTGGGCCACAGCGTGCAGCATGTTTGAATTGTCAACAGGGCGAATAATGTTCAGTGGGAAATCAAACAACGAAATGTTAAAATATTTTATGGAGTTAAAGGGAAAGATTTCAAACAAAATGATCAAGAAAGGCGCATTCAGAGCTCACCATTTTAATAACAATTGCAACTTTTTATATCACGAAACAGATATTATTACACAAAGGGTAAGTTTGAATGAATACCACAATAACGATACCTCCTATGAACAATACGCCAACTTAATTTTTGGACCTGTTCTGTTTTTATTTTGTTTCTTTTTTTTCGACAAAATTAATTTTTTTTTTCTTTATTTTTGTATCACGATATTCGGAGAGCATAATGTTAGTAAATAAATATGGCTGTTTGTAAAAATAACACAAAATGACCGACAAGTAAAGGTGGCCTAGTGTTCATTGGTGTTTCGAGCATTGCATCGGTTATAAATAGGTTTAAACTTTAAACAGGCTTAAGGCTTCACATGCCAACGTTATTTCGATTCCTTTTGTTTGTGTAACTTCAGGATACCTGGTCCAAATGTGGTTGGTGGAGAATTTGATTTCTGATCTGACTAGAAATGCTCGATATAATCGTCACAGTTCTAAAGATTCATTGTATCAATTTCAGGACAAAGTATTAGTAATGTCAATAATAAGACCGACCAGGGATCTAATGAGGGAATTGGCGCCGCCAACTCAAGCTGTTCTACCGAACGATGCCAAGAAATTACAACAATTTAAGGACTTGCTGGAGCGAATGTTGATGCTGGACCCCGCCAAGAGAGCTTCTGTAAACCACTGCCTGGCACACCCTTTCATCCAAGATAATTCTTAAGCCTCCACTAGCGATTATAATGCGACGTGCCCCAGGCTGCAACTTAATAGTCGAACCAATCCTGTGGTAACGATTGCGTTGTGCACATTTCTAATTTGGATGGTCGGAAAACCTGATATTATTTTTCCTCTATAATCTCTTGAACGTTCAGTGTAGTGTTTTTTTATTTACTAGGAACATTTAAACAACTGTATGCACAAGTCAGGCAGTGTAGAGAGGCTTTTAATAGTACCCAAGAGCCCTTATAACGGGATGAGTATTTCACTTCTTGGCATCGACAATGGGTGAAAAGTAACCACGCATTTGTCAGCACCGGCTGCGCCATTGCAGTAGTCTTCTATATGGATGAGAAGTACTGACTGATTCGATCAGTATAGGTGCGTACAGCGCTGACACATGCGCGTTCAGCTTTAGAGAAAAGGGTACCGCACTATTTTGAAACCTGTCAAACTAGTGTGTTTATAAAATTCGTGCGTAACATAATGTAACACTTATATACAATAATATCTATGATAGGGTGTTCATATTTTCTGGTCGGCAGGAAAAGATATCATTGAACATTTGAGTAATTGATAATTTTAGTAATTGTATGTGGTAAATAAATATCAATCTCATTATTGTAGTGTAGGTCGTTGCCACAGGCCAACATATTATCCATCCAATCGAGTTCAACAAAACCTGTATAGTCTCTTAGTTATTTTTTATTGGACTTTAGTGTTCAAAATACCATCGGCCCGGAAATGTGCATAACACGCATGCACAAGGTCACTGCAGCGTGGTACTGTCCTCATTCAATATTGTCTTAGTTTATAATTTCTTTGGTTCAAAAATCCTAATTAGACGTGTAAAACTTATCAAGCAGTCAAATGTAAATAAATTAGGTTCTAAAACACGATAGGCCAATCTCTCTATATCAGTAGTATGAGCATTTCTCAAAATATTTGTCAACAATTTTACTGATAATGTCCCATATTTTTGTATTTAATCAGTTCTTTTGCTACAATTATTGTCTCATTCACTGACTCTCCCATTTTTTGGATCTATGTCAGTACTGCTATCGGATTCTTCCATAGTGGACTAAGTACATGCAGTTGTTAAGGATTTTGTTTACGACTAAATGTAAATGTAGTAGTGTAATATTTTTTTAATTCAGATGACATAATACAAAAAACAAAATCTTACACCTTGTTCTCCTCGTTAAGTTTTCAGCATAAAGCCTCTCGGATTTCTTACATCTCATCTACCATGCCTATATTGGCCCTAAAACACTAGTACCATACCTCTAGATTGTAGCTAACAAAATGGCGGTGTAATATTACATAAAAGCGAAATCAATGGTTTAACTTCTTATTATATGAAAAATAAGTTTTTATGCTTTAATAATATTATAAACAATTTAAAAAAAAGTTGCAATGTGAGAGTATTACGTAAATTTGATGATGAAGATTTCATGAACTTTAATTTGTATCACCGCATTTGCACACTTCGGATATTGCTTGTGCACTAAGTCCTATCTGAACCCGAGAAAATATGATTATCGCTTGTACGCCTATAGATAAAATGACACTTTGGACACCTGTGACATTTCGGATTGTCATTTCTCGGATTCGGAACTAGAGGTCTACTCTCTTTCTTGAAAAAGAAATTTCGTTCACGAATGATATTTAGACGAAGTTTCGTTAGTAACTTTACTCTTCTTTTTTGTTCAGGCCCAAGAATTCTAATGTCATTTACAATTTTGTGAACGACTGGAATGAATAATATTGTGTAGGTCTCTTTGATGTCAACCTATGATAAATTACGGTTTTTACTTTAACTTAAAATTAATACAGTTGTTTTGCTTTATTTTTTAAATTTTATATTTAATATGTGGTGCATTAAGCATTTATTGTAATATCCATGCAGAAAATATAAAAAAACAATTAAAAATATATTTTTGACGTAATTAGCCGAGACGCTATAAAATACTCAATGTTATCTGATTTACCTGAAGAGTACCATTTCATGCAGATTATAGGTGGCAACAGTATGACAACCAAAAATGTCTGTATATTAGAAGCTATATTCTAATTGTATTCTTTGTAAAGTTATCGTACATAATATTTACAAATAAATATGAAAATGAAGGCATTTGAAGCTCTTGGCGAGATTTCTCGTAATCATTAGCTCCTAAAAAAAAGCAAAAATGTAATGCAGTAAACAGATTTTATTTAATCAACTTGCACAATCTTTATTTCCTTGGGTAGAACTTTTTTGTTCTTCGGCCAGCATGCAGCTTCAGCTTGAGCTGAAGAAAAAACTAATTCACAGGCAACCTTCTTTCAGCTTGGAGTTGATTTTCTCCCAACTTGAGAACAACAATCGTGAGCTCGTTTCCATAACGTCTTTCTTTTGATAGTCATAAGGAAACTATTTCTTGTCACTACTCTTCAAATAGAAATGTGCAATGTGATATGCAATAATAAATAGCTGATCGAGTCTGTAATTTCCTATAAACTATGAGTTGGGAATCCACATTTATACGTAGTTGGTTGCACTGGCGCGATGGCGACGACGACAGCTTTTCCTAAGTTCTGAACGTTCTACAGGCAGACCCTCGATCAACGAAAGCATTGTTGCAGTCATTTCAATAAAATTTTTAACAAAATTCACATTTAAGAAAATCAAAAGATAGCACTTTTAGTTTCGTCAATTTGACATTATAATTCCGAAGAATTAGCTGTCCCAATCTTTCGTTCGGATGTTCATGAATTAGAGTAAGGTAACGAAAAACTAAACGTCAAACAATTTTCGTTCGAACGAAATTTTGAAATGAATTGTGGTAAGAAACATGCGCAACCTCGATCGAAATTTCGTTTTTCATTGAAAAAGAGTTGACCTCCTGATACGAATCGGACGTAGAGCGCAAACGCTCTTAGGGATTGCAATAAAAAACATTTTGTTGTGGTGACTCGTCACTCTTGCATTTTGTGATTTTTTTAAATTAAGTAATGAACTTGGAACAAATCAATCAAAGCATCGAACACAAAAGTGCTATTCAACATTTTGAAAAACGTTTATGAACAAAAAGACAAAAACGAGCATAAATTGCGACATATTGTAAGAACAGTTTTTGATAGAACTTTTTCATTTCATTTGTCCAATGAGAAAGAATTCAGTGAAATGCATAAACGTTAGCGAAATACTATTTGCCCTGTACCTGCAGTGTTAACACCACGCATCAATATAATATGAGGCATAGTCGAATGCTGAACCTTGCTGTTGATATTCCAGAGAAGGCTTTTAGTATGGACAATACTATAAACATTACTATGAAACATGCTTCAAGTCTGGTAGGTCTTCAGATCTTCCATGGTCATAGACGATCTGTTCAAACTCAAACAAAAATGATGTTTGATTCAAACCGTCTGACATCTCGGGAGCGCTTAGCTGTAGCTACTTACTAAGGAAAAGTCATCTGAATTGATACTTACATATTTCTAATTCGCAAACTCAATGATAGGTATTGTATGCAATTAAATATTACGGGGTTTAAGATTTTGTATACATATCTGTATCTAGACGAGTTCATTATGTATTTACTATAACATAATTATACAGTAAGTTTATTTTTCTTGAAACAATGAAGTGAAGGAATCTTTAAATTTCCTTAAGTACTTTCGTAGTCAAGTCTCCATTGTTAAACCACTTTAGTAAGTAAATACACCTACATTATTATATACTTTACGCCCTTTTCCAATCGGAGTAAATAGTCGACTAACTATAGATAACTAGACTACATGAAAACTTGTCACCGTGGGTTCTCCAAAACAAATAGATGAAAGGATGAAAAGATCTTTTGTTACAAATATATACAATATTAATTTATTTTAAGGCATTCATGCATGCCCGGTGCGCTCACCATTCATTGTACAGTGTTAAGAGAGATGCATGCACGTTCCACTTCCATTTCTTCGTTAGTTCATTATCATTTTTCTCTTCGCCGAACGCTAAACTTAATGGTGTCAATACTGTGAGTTAATTATGAACCAAAACTAATTTATGTGTATGTGGACCGAGGGCCCACATGATTTTTGCCAGTTATAATAACTGGAATGTTTAGTACAAGTTTTTTGTAAAATGCGTCCTGGAATTTGTAATTTGCATTTATTAAAAAGCTATACTACCTAAGGTGCGGTCTCAGTTCTCACACCAAAGCTTCCACTTCTGGACAAGTATTTTGTTAGCAGAAATTTTGTAAAAACCTCTTTAAACGTCTCACAATGAAAAATTTGTAAACCTTCATATTTCAATTGGTTCTGATATAAAAGATATTTAAGTTAGAAGTGGTATGTTATTAAATGGACATCCCTACTACATACACGGCTAAGAAAACTTTGAAAAGCAATTATCTTGTCTAATGAGCCACCAATCCATTTTTTTAAAAAACATGTATATAGTAAAGTTTTTTGACTAAACCTCAATACGATGAATATTTCTATATTGCTTATATTTTAGGATATTTTAATTAATTCACTTTTCTTTAGTGTGTCAACTGAGGGACCACAAATAAATATGAAATTTACGAAATTGGCTTCTAATTGTGGTTTTCTTTTGGTTTTACAATCTTCTTTGTGATTTTTACTAAAGTTTACGGATAAATAATATAAATATTATAATTAATTTACTAATTTATATGTTTTTTAAATGTGGGCCCTCAGGGACCATATAACGAACAGCGTAATAATATATAATAATTGCCAAATTACGTTTTGTTCATTACGTAAATGTTTAAAGAGGTTTTTACTAAATTTCTGTTAACAAAATATATATAAGTGGAAGCTTTGGTGTGAGAACTGAGAGACCGCACCTTATAGCTTTTTAATATATGCATATTACAAATTCTAGGATGCGTTTTACAAAATGCTTCACAACTTGTACTAAACATTCCAGTTATTACAACTGGCAAAAATCATGTGGGCCCTCAGTCCACACATACATACTAATTTCCTGTCTTTCCGGAAACTATTTACTAGTTTCTTCAACGGCAATTCGGGTAGAGCCTTTAATTATGTCATCGACCATAGGTGTATGTATTGATTCACATACAACTAAAACACACATACAAACAATTATTTACTAATCAAGTTTAGCTTGCATTGTCCTGGAAAATATCTAATACATGTTTTTAGGTCTGTCGAATTAATTTAGATTGTGTATTGTTACACAGAGTTGACACCAAAATTAATAAGCGCTACTATGTATAAGGGGGCTACTCCCGATCTCCGTCCGAAACAATTACTGTCAAATAAGTAATATTCGACAAAATTGAAAAGACAAGTGTCCGGTATGAAGCTTCATTCGCGTCACGCGTCTTTTCATTTGGTCAAGTATTGCTTATTTGGCAGTAATTGTTTCGGACGGAGATCGAGAGTAAACCCCAAGGTTCATTTTGTACACTCACTCGCGGCAGATTCAAATGGTCATCTTAACATAGCAAATAATGATATAAGTACCTATTGTAAGTTTGTGCAATGTTGCGCGGCTCTTGCTTGCCACCTGTCGCCTGTTGAGGGTAGGATGTCAACCTTATCAAATGGCAATGTAAATATAGATTAACAGAATAGTTTTTATACGGTAGTTAGTTTCCTTATACTGAAGTGGTTACGCTAGCTAGCAAAAAGGGTTCTCGAGTGTACACTGCATATAAATGTTGTAGAAAGAATACATACCCATTACAACTCGATTATCAATGAGAGTCGACGTTGAAAATAAATTATTTAGGTATTTAATCATTTAGTGTTTTTATTTCATTTCCGATAACTACAAAGTCGCTTCGATTCGATTCGTTTGTTATACATACTTTGATTACTGGCAAAGATTATATATATATTCAGTTTTATGAACTTTCAAATCATGTTTCCTCAGTTCCATTCATAGATTTAGTATATAGGTACCCAAAATCTATGGTTCCATTATTTTTGAGTTACGACGGTTACAACAGTAATTGATTTTTCATGTACGATGGGTCGTTCTATGTTATCTCACAAATTGAGAATGTAGTGTAATCCTAAGTCCGTGTGTTATCCAAGGATGTAATCAAACTAAATTTTAAGTACATGGTCTGCCATGGAGATGAGAGGTTCGTTTCCTGAGTCGGGAGAAATATTTGTATGGCCTACAGTTATTTCTCTCCTGAGTTAAGGCGTAATTTATGATTGTCTATGTGTGTATCCATGGCACCCGCGATACAGGGTTTCCCTAGAACGGCGCAATGAGTGAGTGCGTTATTATTATTATTGTTATGTTTGGTCCGTTTTTATCGATATTTCGACGGCTAAGTGCGTAGTCGTGTATAGCAGCCATATAGCAGTCGGGAAGGTTTGCAAGCAATCGGCAATCGCTGCATTCCAATTATTATTTTGCACTTGCCCTAAGAATGCAGCTCGTATGACTTATATACTATACATAGCATAGCATACAACATAGTATTATTTTCGCGAACCGAAGAATTACGGTATTATTTGTTTTAACTCTTACGCATTGCATCAGATCCGAGCCCGAATTATATTTTGAGCGAGATTGTACTTTATTATTTAAATGAAGCTAACTAGCCTTCAGTGTTAATGCTGACTACATATATGACCAGAGAACAAAAAAGCAACGAGAACGGACACTCCGCCTCTCCGCGCGACTGCCGCGCAATTGTCACTTTTCATACAATTACTAGAAGCGCTGCAACCGCGCGGCTGACGCGCGACAGTCGCGCTGCAGCCACGCTCGGTGAGGTGTGTACACCTGTTAATTTTCAAATTAACTACGATAGACGAAAATCGAGTTGAAGAATTTATAGAAAATGCAGAACAACACCTAGCAATGTGGGATATCAGTTCCGCCAGTTATTCTAATCGGCTGGAAAAAAGGCACGGGAAAATTTGTCTAAAATTTATTGACTATTTTGAAACTAAAACTACAAATGAAAAAACATAGCTTTTATAGCTTACATTATTATATATATTATAGCTTACATAGCTACGTAGGTTGTGAGTAATTTTTAATACCTATACGTGAAGTGTGTGCACCCAGAACTCTGACCCCCCTAACTATATACCTTTTGGTTCTGAACACAAGTGTGAAGAATGTGTTAAACAAACGTAAAAATCCCATAAAAACCCTAAAACTATTTGCAAATATTTTTCGTAAATCGAGTTTTGTAACTATTTAATGGTAGTATTCATTTTGATTATTTTGACAAAATAAAGGTAGCGAACGGATTCTAAAGGTGCCTACGACTTTGTCGATCAACAACGAGAATTATAGACGTTTCCAGTTGTTTGGGAGTGCTCATTGAGAATGTGGCATTAATTTCAAGATGGTTGTCAAGAATTTTCAAAAATGTATTTTTGGTAATCCTTATGGAAATGGCATTTATATCTGAATACATGACGGCTGACACGACTTCGCATTTCTAAATACGGGCGGCGGGCACAATTTCTCAAACAATGGCAAGTTGGGCATCGTTTTCGACATATTTAAGGGTGCTCATTACGAATATAGCACTTATTTCGACGACCGGATCGAAGGAATTTTTTCTGAGTGTTCGATCTTTGTATTAATAATTATAACAAACTAGTGGAGTAATTTCACAAAAAATTATTGAATATCAATTCAATAAAAATTTAATTAGCATTTATTTGTAAATCCAAGATGGCGGGCCAGATTATTCAAAAAAATGCAATATAGATATCCTTTTCGAAGTATTTGGGGATGTTCATTACGACTATGGTACTCCCAAACATTTCGAAAACGTCTATAATTCTCGATAAGACGTTCTGGTATTCTATTTAAAATTTAAATTTTATTTTTCTTCAGTTCTAACAAAAAAGTGAAAGTGAGGATTCTTCGTCAGTATCCATCGTGTAACTAAGTCGAAAGATAAAACATCACTAAAAATTTGGTTGCACTTCAGCAGCGCGACACTCGCGCGACCGTGGCTAACAGCGGCTAATTTGAACGCGCCCTTAGATACCGCACCATGCCCCGACGATTAACGGTCACATTGACTCGTTGTCGTTTGGCAACAAGGCTGTCGGCGAGCCGTTTTCACGCCAATGGCCCCAAAGACGGCTTTGATATTTGAATGTAGTTTTCATTTATTAATTACGAAACTTGTATGTAACATCATTATCTAACATCATCGTTACATTACTATTTATGGCCGAGAATTGTGCTGTGAACGGTCGTTTATCATGTAAACGTTATAGAGAGGAGTTTCTTTCGCTTTTCGAAAGATGAAACGAAGATGAAAAAAGCTTATGCCTGAGACTCATTCAGTTATTGTTTTCTTTCATTTATTTAGTGCAGAGTTATTTAAAGGGTTTTTCAACAAGAACTTTGTTTTGTGAATCAAAACAAAACAATAAATTTAAATGACAACGATTCAAATTTTTATTGTATTAAAAAAAATATGGCAATTATGAATGAAAAATGATATCTGATAAATGTCCACCACGATCACATTTTGCAGATGTCGATTCTTTCATCCAAGTTTTTAATCACTTTTTGACAAAATGGCGAGCCTATTTCGTTAATCACTTTACGAATTTTGAGTTTTAAGGCTGCAATCGATTCGATTGGCCCCATATGGACTCTGACTTTAACATAACCCCATAAAAAATTATCCAGCGGTGTTATATCATGGTTAAATCACATGATCGAGCTGGCCACTTAAAGGCGGAATTTCGTAAAATTATGCGATCGAGAAATTTGGTTTGCAATAAAAACATTGTTTCAGTGGTTATACAGTCCTGAGCTAGTAGACAAGGGTTCTCGAATTTTCAGTTTGTTTTGCCGCTAAATATTACGTAGTGAATAGTAGCGGTACTATCAAAATCCAACTGGACCCACCACTGGAACCAACAGTCCGAAAGGGAATTTTCTCGGATACGTATCGGACTTAGTGCACAAGCGATATCCGAAGTCAGTCCGAGTTTTCTAGACATTGTATATTCTCGGATGCGGAACGGATATGAATCGGACGCAGTGGCAGCGCGGTAACTGCACCGCACGACCAACATGCTGTAATGTTCGTATGCACTTTCGGTTATAATGCAGAGGAATATGAAACGAGAACTTTTCTTAGCAGCAGTTTTGAACTGTAATGTGACGGTAATGACAACTACCTTTGTCATGAACTTTAGACTATATTGTTTGGCGCTGAGTCAAAGCGTCGCGACACGTCATGTTTTACGTCTGTAGCATATTTATTTTCCCATTATTAAGGTACAAATTTGTGTTATGCAAATATGGAATCGAGTGTCGACGCTTGGTAGCAGTCGAACGGCTTCGCGCTTCGACCCGCACTGTGATCCCGGCGCACTAATGCGAGTGTCGTCGCGCGTCAACGCGTGTCGCCAGGCGGTGTAGTTGAAAAACAGGAAGCGACGCAACGCTTCGACTCTGCGCCGGTGTGGGTTGAGCCTTAGCCATGAAATTTCGTCTACGATGCAGAGGAATATGGAACGAGAAGTTTTCATAGATAGCAGTGTAACGTAGTGATTACATTTTCTTTTAATACCAGTTTTTAACCGACTTCAAAAAAGGAGGAGATTCTCAATTCGACTGTATGTTTTTTTGTATGTATGTTGCGCGATAACTCCGGTATTTGTGAACCGATTTTCATGATTCTTTTTTGTTGGAAAGAGGGTACCTCCATAGTGGTCGCATTTCATTTTGAAGAAAATCATCCACCTCTTATGGTGGTTGATCATCCATGAACATTCATTTTTATAAATAGTGCCTATATTTTACTTAAGGAGCAATTATTTTAATGGTTGGTTTTGCTATTCTCCAATTCAAGGCGTTTTTCTCTCGATATACTTTGAGTAATGAGAACCGATTTTTATTATCTCCTGTGTCAAGTCCCGTATATTGACGAACTAGGGGATATTTCAGTAAAACTTAGCAAATAGTCGTAATTCCACGTACTTTTGAGGTCGGTTTTTTTAGTACTCTGTACTGAGATTATGAAATATAATGTGACGGTAATGACAACTAAGCTATCGTAGTGTTGCTGAAAATGATCTTAGAGTTACCGAAGACCTTAGAGGATGGATAATAGTCTAAGCCAGGGACTGAAATTTTTCAACAAAGATTGTATTAGTAATTGAATTATATACAAAATTAGATTTCTACGTTATTTTACCTTCATGTACATTAACTCGTTAATTCGTTAATGGCTCGATACTATTCTTCAATTGCAGGCTCGCGCCTTAGTTTGTTGTTTATAAGAAAAGGTATCTAAGTGAAATTTGAAGTTCAAATATAAAACATAATAAAATCCCGAAACGTAATTAATTATCAGTCTTATTTTCATAATTTGTTAAATTATATCTCGTTATAACAATTCAAAACTAATACAGACTTTTGTCCCAACTTGACAAGTACAAGGTTCAAAGTTTGTAGTTGTTTGTTGTTCTCTATCTCAAAACAATAGCGCTGCAATATGGCTGCAATGATCTATGATGTTGGCATAATGTGTGGACATAGTAGAACATGTTTACAGTTTATCATATCTGTGTAAAATTCCCTAGCCTAAAAATTAATAAAAAAAAGTTCGTTTATGGTCGGGTTCCGATAACGTTGACAATTTGACATAACTGACACTACTATCGTAAGATTAATACTAAACATTTATTTGTAATTGTAGTCGTATAAGGCTGTTATATCCGAAAAGGCGGAGTTATCTGCCTATTCCCATTTTCATTGTAGCCTAAAGAGGATTGTAACCTTTGTATTTAGTTACCGTGTGCTTATTGGAGTTGAATACATAGATGAGTTTATTAGTGAAGAGAGCAGCAGACTGTTTTTTTAAGTTTATCAAAACGGAAAAATGTGAGGAATTGTAGGATACGGTGGTCGCTTTTTAGGTATTTTGTGGTGTCATTGTAAACATGAGGTATAATAAGCAGGAGTTAGTTGCTCTGGCGTACCAAAGCTCTCAGAACATCGATCGGGAGGGAACACTTGTGCTAAAGGAGCGTCAAGACGGCTTTTTTCGAAGATCTGAAGGTGAGGGTTATCTGTTTTACAAAATTTAAATAACAATATATAAAACTGTAGCACTATTGGAATTACTTAAGACATTGTTGAAAACTTAGAATAATAACGCATAGAATGATAGTTTCATATCAAACGAACTGTCACAAGTGAGGCAAAAACCAAATTCATGTAGGCGTAAGCAACTTGTAACTACGCTCGTCGGCACGCACACAAATATACAAATAATGATGCCATGGAATAACATTTCCCTCAAAAGTGGGGAAATTGTATCTTGCTTAACTCATCATTAAGTTAAAGGTGCCTACAGATTTGCCCGACATTGTCGATCAGGTGCCTACAGATGTGCTCGGTTTTGTCGATGAAAAACGAATATAGCACTTATTTGTAAATCCAAGATGGCGGACACGATTTTTCAAAATATGCTATATGGGTATCCTTTTCGAGGTATTTGGGGATGCTCATTACGAATATGGCACTCATTTCTAAATCCAAGATGGCGGACACGAGTTTTGAAATAAATGCAATATGGGTATCATTTTCGAGGTACTTGGGGGTGCTCATTACGAATGTGGCACTCATTTCTAAATCCAAGATGGCGGGCACGATTTTTTCAAAAAAATGCTATGTGGGTATCATTTTCGAGGTATTTGGGGATGCTCAATGTGAATATGGCACTATTTGTAAATCCAAGATGGCGGGCACGATTTTTCAAATAATGGCAAGTTGGGTATCGTTTTCGAGGTATTTGGGGGTGGTCATTACGAATATTGCTTTTGTTTGAACTGTCGTGTTTGCCATCTTGGATTTAGAAATGAGTGCCATATTTGTATTGAACATTCCCAAACATCTCGAAAACGATACCCAACTTGCCATTATTCGAAAAATCGCGCCCGCATCTTGGATTTAGAAATAAGTGCCATATTCGAAACCTAAAACCGAAAATGCCATAAGCAAACATTAAAGAAAATAACTGTTAAAATAGATTAAAAAATCGCTTAAGAATGCTCCCCTTTTAAGAAAATAAAATATTTTAATATAAAATATTTCGCTTGAGTTACGAAAAGAAAGACATATAATAAGCTATCAAAGTTGTACTGGTGGTGCCAACACTATAGTAGAAACAAATATATAAGTACTGTAAATTTGTTGCAATATGTGCTCCAATTCAAATAAAATTAAAATAAATAATTATTCAATAAAGCATGAACGCAGAGCCGTTAAAAATATTATAAAATAATTAAGTGTCCCAATCACTTATAGGAGTTAACGAAAACATTTAATGTTTATTAAAGTAAATATTAGTTCAAGATGCGCAAATAAATCTAAATTACAGGCACCACTAAAATTTACGTAATATAATTATTTTGATACAGAATAGCAAAATGGGGAGAAAAAAAATTCGTTACTTTGCAATACTTTCGTATCTTGTTGCCGCGAAATTATTTTTCTGTTTTAGTGAATATTTACATAAAAATATGAGTTGAAACGCATTACTTACTTGTGGAATGCGATGTTAGTGTCTATTTTATGTTTGTCTGTTGTATTTTTACACCCATTTACCGCACATTTCGTCATTTTTAGCAAAAAATTTTGGAGCTGTTCGCGGTGCAATATGACCTTGAGCACTAACAGCCCGCGCGCTCCTGGGACGCGTTTGGAACCCTCTAACTTGCCTCACTTAGCGTGTGCGGGCTAGGTTTCTATGCGTTATTATTCTAAGGTTGAAAAGATGTCCTGTTTATGTTACTCATTGGCACATGTAAATAGTCAGGTTTTGTAAATTAAAAATAAAACCAAAACATTTTTGTTCAATTTCATACATCTTTATGGAATGGTTAATGTTTATTTGAAAGTAATAACTATACACACAAAACGATATCTAAATTGCTGCTGTAGGAAGACATCCCACTTGTCAATAATGGAATCAAAACAAGCAGATCAGAACTGGAGAAGCTTTACATCCATGCAGGAAAGGAATAGCTATAAGAATAGTAAAAAAAAATTACTTATCAGATTTATTGTGAGCATATTTAAGAGTTTTAAAGACCCTTTTAATTGAACACTGCCTCAGGGGTTGTATAATACATGAAGAATTGAATTTTGTATCATCACCTTTATTTTGGGTATTTATGAGTTTCAACAATAGTAACACTGGGGGTACTGGGGTGTAAATATACTAACCGTTCTGAACAAGCTTTATTTTTGTATGAAAGTAAAATTTAACTAATTATTAAAAGTCACCGAATAAAAATTGTTGTTTATGATGTTAGCAACTATACTATTAGGAAATGAAACTATTTTTCCGGATTTCAATAGCGTATATTTGTTTTTTCAAACAAACAAAAGGAGTTTTTTTCAAACAACCCAAAGGTTTGTTTGAAAAAACAAATATACGCGATTTAAATCCGGAAAAATAGTTTCATTTCCTATGTCTAACAATCGCAAAAACCTAAGAACTCAAACTATACTATTACATTATAGTCTTGAGAGGTGGTTAGTATTTTCCAAATTACCTTGTATATTTAAATTGTTTAAATGGGTCTTTTGATTCTTACGACATGATTGGTGGTATTTGACAGGAAGTTCAGTCCGGTGGTTTCGCCTCCGTGGCAACCTGCTGTTCTACTTCAAAGGTCCTAAGCCTTGGTACGAGCCCCTTGGATTGATCGTACTGGGTTACCATCAGGTCCAACTACAGAGTCAAGATGAGAAAGGACACTGGCCGTTTAACATTGGTAGGATATAGATAAGTAGACATTACAAGCAAAATATAATATTATAATATACAAAGTATTTTATTTTATTTATTTATAGACTTTGTTTCTCTGTTAGATAAGTAAGTAAGTTAGTATGTAAGTTTACATACTAATTTATCTAACACAGAAACATTGTATGACATGCATATGTATGCATGTCATACAATGTTTCTACATTATAAATGTTACTTATTTATTATTACTTAAGTTTGTTGACTCGGTACTTTAAGTTTGTCCTCTATTACTCCCTATCTTTTACTGTTTGCCTCCATGCTCCTCCAGTAACATATACAAAGTAATACTGTTTAAATGCAGATAAGGGAAATTTGCCACTACGGAATTCAGGATGTCCTTAAGAAAGGTTAGGTTGAGAGTATGAACATACCGTGTTGATGAGGCGAAAGATGTATGCCAGTATCATGACAAATGAATAGAATTGAATAGACGCCACAATGCATAGATACAAAAAAAAATAACATAAAATAAGACAAAACTGGCAAAAATCTAAATGGAAGGCTGTGGTCTCTGTCTACCCCGACAGGAAGAGGCGTGAAGTGTGGATGCGCAATTATGTATCCAATTTGAGCCACCTTGCATTTTCAGTTATTAAAATGTAAATAATGTTTGAATGATCAAGAACCATTATGCAATTTTGGAACTGGTATAACTAAAGGTCATTTTCTTAAGCCCTTGTTGAAAATTTGGATTTTTTAAACCGGGGAAAACATTTTCTTCAATTATAACAATGTTAATGAATAATATATGTCTGGGAATGTATAATGTTTTAGGGTGGTATTCTAGAATTCTACTCTATGCTCAAGTCAGGACTTGAGTATGATTTAAACCACTAGAAATCATACTCAAGTCCTTGCCATTAGGGTCGTATTTCCAGTGCTTGAAATCATACTCAATTCCCGACTTGAGCATTGAGTACAGTTCTGGAATACGACCCTTAGGGTCGTATTCTAGAACTCTACTCAATGCTCAAGTCAGGATTGCATTGGAAACACAAGCACTGGAAATACGACCCTAATGGCAGGGACTTGAGTATGATTTCGAGTGCTTTAAACTGTACTCAAATCCTGACTTGAGCATTGAGTAGAGTTCTAGAATACGACCCTTAATGTAGTATGAACCGTCACAGAGCCAAATAAACAGATTATAATATTGTGTATCCGCTTAACAGTGTGGGAGAATGGCGTGTGTTACCGACTGGCCACATTTCACGAATCGGAGAGAGAGTTATGGCTAAAGGCAATAGACATGGCGCCTTACGATCACATTAGCACAAAGCTCACTAACCTGAGAGAAACGTTGAATAGAATCAGACCTGTCACGGACATCGCCACTTATAGACTACAAAAAGGCATGGTAACTGGTAAGTAGGTATTGTTGAATTTCATTCTCTATGCGCGACTTTGAATGTTACTAATACTAATTATTCGAATATGGGCAAATCATTCGCCTAAGTCGAATCCAAGCACAATCATTCGACTCGATTCGAATGATACCGAATGCCCCAGCCATTAGTCGGGTGCACGAGTCGAGTGATTATTATGTCTTATAACCCGAACTCCACCAGAATCATTCACCATGTCCATATCATGATAACCCTGTCCCCGTCACATTTACGGTATCTACCATATGTCAAAGAGGGTTAAACAGAAAACATCTACGGAATCTATGGATTAGTAATACTGATTAGTAATGGTGATCATTCAGATCATTCGAATACAAAAATTTGTAGGTTACTAATTTGTTATTCGAATGACAGGGTTAGTAATTACTAACGAGTCGCATTTCGAAATCATTCGTATTCGCGCATCGCTAGTTGTCATATTATTATTTTAGTTGTACCTACCGGTTGCGAAAGATATTTGAAAAAAATAAGGTGTTCATTAGAGTGTTCTCGTGCTATATTAATAATTTTATACCAGCATTGCAGATTAATATCTCGATTACGATAATATTATCATTAAATTTTAAAACACCAAGCGAACGCTTTCTATTCTATAATGAATGTCGCGAGCGACTATGGCTATGCAACTCGAGTGCGACGCGAATGTGTGCGTCCGAACACAGCGCGCGGCGGGCGTGCACACATGCAAGTCACGTTGCGACATAATTTGTATTTAGTTACACTACTTGTTTTATTATACTATGGTCAAAGTGAATAGCCATAAAGAGGTCAAGACGCTGGTTATAGATCGTGAAGAATGGAGGTGCTGGAGAAAAAGCCTGTTGTGTATCTTGTAACGGTCTGCCATCAGTTTGTCATCTTGCTATTTACTTAGAAATGTACCGTGTATTTGATGACTATTTGTATAGCTTGTGCGGAATGTCCCATCTGTATTCTAGGAGAACAATGGCAATACGTTTTTATCTTATTACCGCCTGCGCCATATTCCACCTTAGTCACATTGTCTTGTCGATCGAGTCTGAAAAAATAATTAAGTTGTTATTAATACAAAGATCGAACATTAACTCGAACCAACGTCTTCCAGCAAACAGTTCCAAATGAATGGAACGTACTAGTCCGCCTTACGATTTTTTTAAAGTGCTTATTGCAGATCTAAGTTTTTTGTTGCTGACGACTTTTTCCCATAGAGCCATCTGTGAGAAAATACAATTGAATATCATGGTGGTCCAACATCGTGAGTTTCAATAAAAACTTAAAAATTCAATTTATTGTTTAATAAAGTTATTGTGTTCGAAGTTCGTGTGTAAAAAAACAATACTATAACAATCATTGCGAGATAAATGGTGTCAATTGACGTCACAATTTCAGCGCACATTGAATAATTGTAATGCTATTGAATTAACATAAAGTTTACATTAGAGGTGCCTTTTGAATGAAGAGTTTACGAAATGATAACTTGCTATGAGGAAACAAGGTTTAATATTTAGGAACGTGCATAATAAAATATTGTCGTGGGGCAGTCTCCACTTTTTGACTCTGTTCCATGAAAAATCTCTACCTA